CGGAATTGCAACGAGCTAGGCCAACAGCGCCACAGGACAGGACACATTTTCCATCAAGGCACCCGCGCGTCTCAAAGCGTCCTTACCCAAGTGCGAAAGGCGAAACTGGTTGTCCCCGCTGTGCTGGATAACCAGGCGCATGACAGCTTGAAAGGTAAGAAACACATTTTCCAACTTCTCCACGCCGAGGCACTCGAAAGCAGACAGCGTTGCCTCAATGATGTCATCAACTGTATTGTTGGAGTCGTTTAACTACGTCCATCTTTCTCTCATGCGTGAGTTCTCGGCTGGTGTGCGCAGTGTCCAAGTCGGAGATGATGTCAGGTCCCGTAGTTTTGAAAACAATAATGAGATCTTTTTATTTTTGTGGAAGCGGGTATGGCATAATGTTTTTTCGGTGGCTAGTGTTCATTTTCCCCATGTCCAGTCAATAGATACTTCTCGTATCTTTTCATTCTCTGTCGAACACGATATGGCTCATTAAATTTGGATAAGAAATAAAGTTTTGGGGTCGTGTCAAAGCGAAATGCCACCGGTAATGTGAAACAGAGGAAGTATTCGTTTTGAAATTTCAAATGTGCGGCGGTGTCGACGTCACGTAGAGTAGCCAATCTAGAAAATGATGCCCAGCAAACGACCAAAGAGCAACCGCTTGACACTTCACGACAAGAACTCCAAAAGAGACTTCTTCCGAGCCCACGCGCATATAAAGACCAGTAAGGTCCAAGAATGGGTTGCTGAACACCTTGGCCACAAGGTCCACATCACCACAATACGTCGCAACATCAAAGATTGCCGCTCACTCGATGACTACAATATCAAAGAGGCAAAAGCAAAGTCGAGATACAAGTTACAACGTCCAAAGTACCCAGATCTCGACAAAGAAGTAGCTTCATGGGTGACCATGGCAAACGAAAGCAATGCAAGTGTCACGGGACAGCTTATCGCCCGAGCTGGGCTTCGAATTGCTGCCCGTTTAAGCCAACGAGAAAAGTTCAAATGTTCCAAAGGGTGGGTTTACCGCTTGCAAATGCGAAACAACTTGAAGATGTTCCGCCTTCATGGCGAAGCGGCGTCTGTCAGCCAAAACGTCGTTGCCTCTGGACGAGATATGATTCAAACCGCAACCGAAATGTACAGGATCTCGGACATCTACAACATGGGTGAAACAGGGATCTTTTACAATGCGCAATCACGTACCACAATATCCGACAAGCCACGACCGGAGACAAAACAAGACAAGACGCGCATCTCTGTCGCCCTTGCAGCCAATGCCGATGGTTCAGACAAGTTGCCGCCACTTTTTATCGGGAAGTCTATGCGTCCACGCTGCTTTGGTTCAATGAGCACCCGTGAGTTGGGGTTGCTTTACCGCTCGAACTGAAGGCTTGGATGACCATGGCCTTGTATTCCGGATGGATTGGCAACTTCAACTCACGGATATTCGTTGAACGGCGTGAAGTTCTTTTGATCCTGGACAATGCGTCGTCACATGACCCAATGGCGGTCAGACTAACCAACGTGCGTCTTCTTATGCTTTCCCCAAACACCACGGCCTTTCTGCAGCCCATGGACGTTGGCATCATTGCGTCGTTCAAGCGCCACTACAAAAGGATTCAGTTAGATCACATTGTTAATGTTGTGAGTCCTGTTCTGTTGGTGGGCGTGGTGAAGTGAAGAAGTTGTATGCCGTCGATGTTTTGACCGCCATGAAGTGGTCACTTACTGTCTGAGATTGCGTAACATCAACAACAATTCAAAACTGCTGGAAGCATACCGGCATCGTGCCGAAGTAGACGTTGCTTGATCTCATGGATTCCCTTCGTGTCGACTCGGGCCACTCCATTGCATGCCTGCTGAACTAAAAGTGTGTTACCTCTTGAAATGTATTGCTTTGTGTTTTTTGTAGTTACACAAACCTTTTAAAGTTTATGTATGTCGTCCCACGGGAGCAATCGTCGAGGAATGACTGTAGCTACAACAGTGATCGAGCAACTTCGTAAAATACTCATATACTTCCAAAATCATAACTGATCAAACATGTAGAGGTATTTCTCCGTCACCCTTTGGCTCAAATTTCGTTGGCTGGAACTTTACGCGCCAATTACCACGAGCACTCAATCTCAACAATTTAAACTAGACTGCCTTCTGTCAATTCTTCACTTCATCACTCTTCAATCTCTTTGGTACAATGCGCATCAACATTTCCGCCATGCTGGAGCGGCTCCAGGACCAGACTACCTCGGACAATCTGTACCTACAGCAAAGTCTCATCGAATATAGCGACGATGTGCTGGACGATGATGAATATAATGAAACCGCCAACCCCATCATGGAGAAAACGCTTGAAGAAGTTGGTGCCGAAGGAATTCGTGTGCTTACCAACTTTACACCGGAAGAATTTGAAGTAATTTGGGAGCAAGCTGAAATCGCCATGACATCTCGCTGGAACGAAGGCAGAGGACGTAAATCAGCCACATCTGCCAAAGATGCGTTTTTCATTACACTAACGGTGCTCAAACACTACCAGTCCAGGGAAAAACATGCCGTTGACTTTGGTCTCAAAGCGCCGACGTTGGAGAAGCTTGTCGTGAGGGTTGTGGCCGTCTGCTCCGAGCTCCTTTACGATTCGTTTGTTGTCAAACCAACCATGACGTCTCTCCGCACGAAAAGCAAAGTCTTCGCCCACTTTCCGTACGCCTTGTACGCGACCGACGTTAAATTCCAACCTGCGCATCGTCCTGCCGGCCGCTTTGGGGGCAGAAGCACTACTTCAGTGGATAGCATAAGCTGTACAGATTCAAGATTGAGGCATCCGTCTCACCTGAAGTGCTCCTTGTCGACATGAGTCCTCACGAGCCTGGCTCTGTGTCCGACTTGACCATGTTCCGCAACCGGCTTGACGACCACTTGCAAGCGCTGTCCAAAACAGACAATGAATTAGCCATCAACGACAACGGCGAGCTTCCGTGAACAGTTACTTCTTGGGCTGTCCTTGTGGACAAAGGATACATTGGTCTTGCACCCCTGGCGCGCGCCATTCACCCTAAGAAGAAGCCTGGCGGTGGTGTGTTAGGCCGACATGA